TCAATGTGAATCAACATTTTGAATGATGAATAATGTGGGGCTCACCTGTAGGTGGAAGCTAAACCAGCTGAGACAGTTTAGTTCACCACTGAGCGTCTTTTTAAATATAAGAACATCTATTCATTCTGGTTTTTTTTATTCAACGTAGCTCAACCTTTTCTTGCAATTATCGCGCAGCAAGACACCGGTCAGCTCTCGGGTCAGATCACGACGTCTCAGGAGACGAGATGTTAGCTTTTCAAAATTCAGATGTTCCCAGATAATATCCAGCTCCACCAACAGTCAATAGCGATTAATTACTGAGTGCAGACACTCGACGCAGGTCGATATGCAGCAGCCATTTCACTGCCTGTTGGGTAATTGTCTCCCAGATCTCATTAAAAAGACGCTGGAATTGGGGAAAGAAGAGGGGAGCGATGAAGAGAGAGGAGGAGAGAAAACAGGCGAAGGAGAGGAAACCAACTCTACAGCAGGGATTGACTGTGGCGGTCCTCAACTCCGGGTTTTTATCCAAAACACACACAAAAAAGCACCAACCTTGCATCAATAAATCAGTTTATTTAAAAGAATATGTTACAATTTATTACAGTAAGCGATGTAACCAAACACTCTCTTACATTTTACATTTCATCATGTCAAAGGATTGGCGGGCCTCCGTCCTCCTCTTAGCTTCGTAAGCGACACTTTATCAGCTGAATTACTGAAATAAATAACGTACGTGACATTTAGCTTTAGTCAGAATGAGAGAGGGAGGCGAGGAGATCAGACGGCGTCGGAGGATCGACCGTGTCAGCCGCGGTTCGGTAAACAGACGAGGATGCTGGGAACGTGCTCGGCCTTTAGGGTTCACGCTCGCTCTCCGTTCGAAGGCTCCACACATTCAATTAAGCCTCCTTTGCGCACCCACAAAAGGTTTCGGGGAAGCTCATTAATCACCTGAAATGGCTTTTGTGACCAGCAGCATCATTATAACAAGCACTATTAGCGAGAGGCGCCGATGTAAATCCATTTACGCCGGCCACTTGGTCGAAGATAACAAGAATACTGTTTATTTCCTCATTACTAGCTGAACGCTGCAAGTCAAGGCCGGGCTTTAACTTCACATTATCGTTTACTTACATCCGGTGGCATCACTTTTGGTCTGTATGAACCGAGCATGCCGGGAATAGAACTTAATAAAAAGGTGTTTGCTTTGAGCATCCGTCTGATTGTGATTTTAGATTACGCTCATTTTGAAATCAACCTTTGCAGCTGTTTCATCTTGCAGCAACTTTCAACGCAATCAAGTCATGTAGGTTTGATTAAAAAGGTATTAAAATGTCAAACGCTGCACCGTACGACAATAAATATTTGATGCCTGCCAACAGAGGTTTTAATGATGTAATAACCTGTAATTACATCCTATCTTTGCTTAGTTGTGCGTATTGCATCATCGGCGGCTGCATCCTCTTTGTTATTACATTACTCTTAATTAGAACAATAACCGAGCTCGTTTAGAGAGGAAGTTAATCTGCACTTCATCTAATTATTTCATTACGCCCCCTATACGTTGGGAAGCCCTCTTCCGGAGTCGTCGCAGGATGGGAACCTGCTAAAGAGATCCCATTTAACCTGAATGTGCACCGCGCGAGTGGTTTAACAGGACGGCAGCTACGGAGATGAATAGTGCTGCATGGGAAGGCCGTTTGAATTACAGGCCTGTTATAAATCCTGCGGGAGCTCTCAGAAACAAAGTAATCACAGCGAGGCGGCGCAGAGACGAGCAGGAAGGAGGAGAAGGACCCCTGCTGCCGGCTGTGGGTAACGCACGCCGTCTGATCGCATTAAAACATCTGCATGGAGGGTGAAACTAGAAACGGTTTAATGCATGAAGCCACATGTTGATGCAGTTAAACCCCAAAGACTTTATGGTGAATTTGATTGGACCAGCAGGTTTTGTTCTGGTTGGAAATAAACAAGAGACAAAAAACATTGAATTTATCACTTTTTGTTGGCATTACTACTAAAAATGCCACCGTGTTCTGGATGGATTCAGGTCTGGACTCTGGCTGGGCCGCTCCAACATCTCCTCATTGTTTCCTCTTCACCGTTTCTTCACCACTTTGGCTGCATGTTTCACGTCATTGTCTTGTTGAAGCTCCAATGCTGCCCAAGGAGCAGTGTTCCTGCAGACCTCCTGATGTTCTCCTCTGTTCTCATGAAGCCGTTTCCTCTGACCAGGCTGTCTGGTCCGTCGGCTCAACAACAGCCACGAAGCATCACGTTCCACCACCATGTTGGACCGTGGGGATGCTGCTCTTGGCCTCGGATGCTGCTCCTTTGTCCAGCTTTCTTCTTTGTCCAGCTGAGATTCAGTGTGTCTGTCTTGGGGCTGTTTGGTTTCAGTTGTGACTTGGAACTGACTGAAGACTGACTGATTAAAATGCTGGAGAACATCTGGCATGATGCAGAAAGGTGTGAACAATTTTGGATATGGAATTTTTAGTCAAAAAACTAGTTTTTACAGTCTTTTGTCACTTGTTTATGTCATTTCCAACCACAGGAAACCTTTTGGGAAAATAAGAATTCACTGTCTATGGAAAACTTGGGGCTTATCTGTATATAATCAGTCAGTTAAAAATGAATAGAAAGTAAGCTTATTCCAGTATTATGCCCTTTATGTGCTCTTTAGGTTACTTTCTGCACATCTGGATGTTGTTAATACTGTTGGATAAAGTGCAACATTAAACACGTTCCTGCTTTGTGGGAACTCTGCACCCAAACATGATTTAAAAAAAACAAAAAACAACAACTCTCTCCCGTCTGCCACATTACGCCGCCAACTTTTCATTTTTAAATGCAAAATGTGGCCAGAAACCGATGAGAAATCTGCGCCATGATTCAGCCGCGACTCACATCCCGATGGCCGCTCCCGGAGATAACACGAGCAGACACGCGGGACTACAGCGGCGCTCTAATCCGTGAATGGAGAAGCTAAGTGTCTTCCTGTGGTCAGCCCTCGGTGTCGCTGATTACTGTTATCTGCGCTCGCCTTTGTGAGCGCTAACAGCTTTCACTTTGCTTCGTTAGTCCACCACTAATTCCTTTTCTCACTTCGGCTTTCTTTTGTCGACTTCAAAGGAGGCTCGAAACCTCCTCGTTTGAGTTCCACTTCAAGTCCCTGCCAATAAGAGGAAGGCTCGCGTGAATCCGTCGGTCCGCGGACGCCTTCCCGACAGAGCTCTGCTGCCTGATGCGTGGTTATGATGTGCTGGACTCCAGAGTTCTGGTTCATGAGTCTTTTTTTTTTTCTTTTTTTTTAATGCTTTCGGTTTTATTTCGATGTGTTCTTCAGCGGATGCTTGTTGGGTTGCATGTCGGCGGTAGCTTCTCATGTAGAGTGTAAATGACGTCCGTGTGATTAATAGCTGAGTGTTTTTTTT